TGACTAAAATGACGTCAATATAAACATCCATTGATTTTCCTGTTCTTTGAACAATCGGTTTACTAGATGTTGATAGGTGGCATCAGCATTTTTTAATCCGAACAACAATACATTATAACAGTAAGTGTCGAACTTAGTGATAAAAGAAGTCTTTTCTTGATCACCCGAGTCCATCTGAATTTGGTTGTACCCAGAATAGGCATTAAGAAAATTGAGTATCTCGTGTCCAGTCGTCGCATCGATCATCCGATCGATGTTAGGGAAAGGGAAAGATTCCTTGGGACATGCCTTGTTTGGATCTTTATAATCTACACACATTCTTAGCTTATTCTCTTTTTTAGGCAGTACCACTACGTTAGCTAACCAGTCTAGGTACTTACCCTCCCGAATGGATCCTATTTTAAGGAGTTTAGATACCTCATCCTTGATGAATGCATGTTTGACCTCGGACTGCGGCCTCCTTTTCTGCTTAATCGGATGGAACTTCGGGTCCAAACTCAGTTTATGAGTGGTTACCTCCGGCGGGATCCCTGTCATATCAAGATGGGACCAAGCGAAACAATCTATGTTAGCTTTAAGAAAATGAATGAGTTTTTTCCTGAGCTCGGGGGTTAACCCCGTGCCCAGGTATACCTTTCGATCCGGTAGGTATTCGATCAATGTGACTTGCTCCAACTCTTCGACTGTCGACTTGGTGGTGTCGGTATTATTAGGAGCTATGAACGATCTCGGAACTTTGTAATCATCCTCCTCGTCAACTCCTCGTTCCTCCGGTGTGGCCGAGACCGGCATCGGTGGTTTCTATTTAACTTCGGCCTTTGCGGTCGGCTCTGTGTTGCTTAATGTCGAGACGGCAGGCACCGGGTCTACTTCATCCACTGCAAATATCTCCTTTGCGCCCAACTATTCTCCGTAAACTGTTTTGATTCCTCCCGTTCAACACCTGGTATAAGGTCGAAGGTACCTTCCTCATGTTGTGAACCCATCGCCTTCAGAATACAGCATTATATCTCATGTCCCCTTCGATCACATAAAACTTTGTCTCTTGGATCGTCCCGACGGTGTTCACTGGTAGGGTATCTCCCCTTCAGTGGTTTCACATGCCATGTTAAATACGTTCATCACCCGGACTGCTGGAACTATTTGATCCTGTAACCCCAATTGCTCTACGACCCTCGATCTGATGATGTTGGGCGAGCTACGTGGATCAATCAACACATGTTTAACTCGAGATTTATTGATAACTACGCATATTACTAGTGAGTCATTATGAGGTTGTACGATGCCCTCGGCATCCTCGTCGCTAATTGAAATGGTTCCCTCCAGGACATAATCTCGGGTGCGCTTTTCCCTCATAATGGATACTTTAGTGCGCTTTATCTTGGCCCTTGGGGGACATCAACCCCTCCAATGATCATGTTGATGACGTGCTGAGGTTCTTCTTGTTCGGTCTATTTGTTGGCATCCCGTTCCTAAAGTGATTTTTTGGCTCGATCGCTCAGAAATTCTCGGAGGTGTCCGTTATTAAATAACGGGGCAACTTCTTCTCTTAATTGCCGGCAATCCTCGATCTTGTGCCCATAAGTATCATGATACATACACATCAAGTTAGGATCTCTCTCGGTAGGGTCGGACAGCGATGGTCGAGGCCACTTGGTTTCTTTGATGTGCCCAATTGCTGATACGATGCTGGCAGCATCAATGTTGAAGTTATACTCTGATAATATTGGTGCTTGCCTTCTCCCGAGCGGTCTGTCGAAACCATTTTTGCTCATCAGACCGTCTATTGGCCCTCGATTGCTTCTCTTTTCATTCCTTTTGGGGTGACGTACGGACCCGTTTCCCTTTCGATCTGCGTTGTATGGTTGGTACCGATCTCGGATTGGCCTTGATTCATGGCTGACGACTCTCTTAGACCTGTCATTGGCTCTGATGGGATTAACGGACCAAGAAGGGGCTCCGAGTTGGTCGTCCTCGACTCTGATTTTTGACTGTTACCTATTGTGGACGTCGGCTCAAGTTACCGCCGGGTACTCTAACAAATTTTGTTTTAGTTGCTGTGAAGCCAAGGAGCTTCGGGGGTTAAGTCCTTGAGTGAATTCTTGAATGGCCCAATCTTCCCCAACCGGAGGCAGGTCCATCTGTTTCATTTGAAACCTTGACATGAACTCCCTGAGCATCTCATTGTCTCTTTGTTTAACCTTGAAAAGGTTCCATTTTCTAGTCTCGACCTTGATGGCCCTAGCATGAGCTTTAAAAAATTATCTGTGAGCATAGCAAACGAGTCAATGGAATTTAGGGGTAAGTTGCGGTACCATATCATTGCTCCTTTTGACAGAGTCTCCCCGAACTTCTTTAGTAACACCGATTCGATTTCATTGTCTTACAAGTCATTGCCTTTAATGGCGCATGTGTAGGAGGTCATATGCTCATTCAGATCCGTGGTTCTGTTATATTTTGGAATATCGAGCATATGAAACCTCTTCGGGATTGGCTTTGGTGCTGCGCTCGGAGAGAAAGGCTTTTGGACAAATTTCGTAGAATCTGGACCTTTCAATACGGGGGTGCTCCCGTGATTTGATCGACCCTAGAATTATATGTCTCCACCTTCTTGTCGTTGGACTCAATTTTCTTCTCACCCGATTCCACCCGCTTCGTCAATGCTTCAAGCATTTTCATTGGGGTTGACCCGGGCTCAGCTTCACCCAGTCTCTCGGTGATCTGCTCATTCCTTCGGATGTTCTCCTGTGATGGTTCGGGCTCAACTCTGCTGGGGGTGTGGCTTTGGTTCTGTAGCTACGCTATCGCCGCCTATTGAGCCTGCAACATTTCGAAGATTAACCGTAGGCTAGCTAAACCATCGCCTTTGCCTTCGGGCGCTTCTCAAGCCGGTTTTCGGGGTCCCCCGTGAACGCTATTTTCGGGATGAGTTGGCAAGTTGACATTGATGGCCACTTATGAGTTAGCGTCGATCAGATCGACAACTAGGACTCCATTGGGATCAGCAGGAGGTACCTCGTTGTTAGGCACCAAATTGTTGTTTTTGCCATGATGGCCAGACTGAGCGTCAACGTTCAAGTGGGAAGACTGAGAATTTGACATTTTTAAACTGACCTAAAATTAAGACTTTAAAGAACAAGCGTAAAATAGAGTGTGTTATGGAGATTTGTATCAAATCACCACTATATTCTCAGCCCCACGGTGGGCGCCAAACTGTTTACCCTTAAAACGGATAAAAATTAAATTTGTACGCGATTTTAAGGATATGCGGATTGATTAAACACAAATAATCAATGATATTAGATTAAGAGTGAAAGACAAAATGAATAACCAAACCAGTTGTACTGTTATGAGCCAACTTAAACTTGGGGTGGACAAAAAATTTGCCCTCGATCGGACCCTCGGTCCGGAGCCAATAGGGAATGAATAACAAACAATAAAGTAATAGCTTAAATATAGTTAAAGAGCAGTTAAAATAAAATTATATTGCCTTCGCTTGCGTGTTACAGTGTGTCCTATTAAATAAAAAGATTCCCCTTTCATATAGTAGGAGAGTTTCATCCCTAGTACAATCCTAAAAATGTAAAAATCCTCCTTTCTCGTTAATTACTAATCTGTTACCGACATCGGACAAGATCTGCACCGTTATATCCGGTTTAGTGCGGATACCACGGCCCTCTGTTAGTCGTGTGCAACCATTTGCCATGTTTTTCGAGGTCATGGAGCTCGTTCTGGGTTCGGGGAGTGTTGTCTTATCAGGTCCGATGGCGAGCACTCCGTTCGGACCTTGATACAAAGAGTTCTCAACTTCGATTTCGATCTCATATATTCATACTCTTACTTTGTTTGATCCACCGAAAAATCGGGGTGTGCGTTAACCCCGATTTCACCCGTATACAAAGGACTATAATCTTAAAGAGAACATTGGTCCAAATTAGTAGTAAAACATACTTACACGATAAGGTTGATGAATTTCCGTTGAACTTGTCCGAAATTTCTAGTTAGACGCTTATAGTTTGCGGATGGCTTGACATTTTGATGTACTTATCTAAAGTATATCTAATACCATACTAGGAAATACTAGACAAACACATGAGAATTTTATGTGTGTAAAGAGAAAACAAGAAAAGAATCTACCACAAATTTTGAAAAAAGTAAATATTCCGGTGAAAGGGAGTGGCATGTAAGAGTTTAATTCGTTCTAAGGTTTTGGTGATTGAAAAGGAACAGGGGAGGGAGGGAAATAGAGAAAAAGTCGTTTAATTTTCAGCCAAGATTTCCGTGAAAAGGAGAAAAATAGAGTGGCGAAGGTCAGAGAGTTGAGCATAAAATCAAGAATGGAATAAAAAATGACAAAAAACGAGCCATATGATTAGGGGTAGGTATAATTTGAGATAGTAGAACAGAGACAAAAAGAAGAAGAAGAAAAGTTCGAGCTCATTGGTTTTATAGTGTGTCCTTAAGAAATATAATGGTCTCAAAGTACTTGGGGTTAAGGATTATTTTCTTTTGTTTTCCTGGTACCAAGATTCCCGAGATCCTCTATAATATTTTTAACACCTTTTTAAAACTTTTTTCCATCAAAGTCTTCTTTCCTTTTCGTTCATATCCTTTTTCATTTTATAAATAAATATACTGCAAATAAATATTAAAATTTATGTTGATTTGATGTAATCAAAATCATAAACCTTGGAGCTAAAATATGAAACTTTTCATAAATGAGTTGGATATGTGCCCATTTTAAAGTGATGAAAGCAAGGGGTAGCTGACAATTTGTCCATATTATGGGGGTATTTTTTAAAGAATAACTGTGGGCCTCATATATACTCTTTAATTACCACTCAATTTTATATTTACCCCACACATTAGTTTTTCTTTTTCTAAAGAGTCGCATGATTAACGAGTACATGAAAAGTTGGCATATATATGACCACGTATGGTCATAATTAATGTATATAAAAAGAGATAGAGGATAGAAAGAAGAGAGCATAGGAAAAAATATGGAAGAAGTGAAGGAGACAAAGGGAAAAATATGTATAACAGGAGGAAGTGGTTATCTTGGATCATGGATGGTTATGAGGCTTCTTCAACTTGGTTATTCTGTTAACACCACTATTAGGGTAATTTGTTTTACCTACAATCCTTTGGTTTGCTTCCTTAGTTACTTGTTTACTATGCAAAAGTAATATTTCAATATAAACATAAGTTTAGGAGACTTACGGGTTTACTTATTTTACCACTCATTGGAAATTCTTACAATATGGATGAACTCCCTATTTCCACATTTAAAAATCCTCTAGATGCAAAAAATGCTTTTATCTTTAAAGAACACTGGCCGTTTGTCCCGTAATGAATAAGAACATTTATTTTAGCACGCTAGTGATGTTTATATAGATTTAGATGGTGGATTACCTGAAGAGCGAAGAAACTTATTAGCATCCCCTTATATGGATGGACTAGACCTAATAATATTTTCTAACAAGTTCTAACTATAATAATGGGAATAATTGGCCCTGTGGGTTTTACTGTATGATTAATTCACAAGATCATATTTTATGATCCGACTAGAAGGAAGACAAAGAATAACACTGGATATGATGATTTTTTTTTTAAATTTTCTTACCTCCTTGGTTTTGTGCTTAGTCAATCGAGATTCTAATAAAATTAGCCTGGTCTGTAACTAAAAAGGATCTTGGGAGCGTTTCCCTCGAATGGGGTCCTATCCGGCGCGAATCCGGATATAGTCGTACTCCAATGCAGGTACCGGACACCAGGTGGGAAACAAAAACAACTAAAAAGGATCTATTGAATCTAACAATTAATCAATAAATCAAACGCAGGATGAATATTTATTCATGTATACCTGCGATATCCTTAGCAAAAAGTCCCCCTAATCCCCTGTTAAACTCTTGTTCATTTTAATCATTTTATGTGCCTGTCCAGTTGAAGTTATATTAGTTAGTCCAACTTACTCCTTCGTGTGATTATGAAATATATTCCAGTTTCTGAAGATGAAAATTTTGAATCCATTGACTCTAGATCGCAAGAGGGATTTGAGTTGCCTCACAAATCTTCCAGGGGCACAAGATAGGCTGCGTATTTTTGATGCTGATCTTGACAAACCCGAGAGTTTCAACCCAGCGATTGAAGGCTGCATTGGTGTTCTTCATGCTGCACATCAAATTGATTTTGAGAACAAAGAAAGTGAAGAAACAATAACACAAAGATCAATTAATGGAACTTTAGGCATTTTACAGGCGTGTCTGAATTCAAAGACAGTTAAACGTGTCGTATACACTTCTAGTGCATCTACAGTTGTGGAGAGACATAGATCTTTTAAGAATCTTAAAGCTGTTTGACTCAAAAGATGTTAAGCCTTTTTTAAGCAAATCAATCAAAGAGATGAAGGGGTAAATCATAATCAATCATAATTCGTATCGGATCTAAAGATAAAGAAATGGCATTAAATACAAAAATGGAGGAAGCATCGAAAATGTTTTATTTATGATGAAGCTTTGCCTTGCCCCTCCTTGGAAGGGAAAGGAATTACTATCATTGTGTTTCTCTCTTTTCTTCTCTAGATGGAGCTTCCTTTTCCTTCTCGTGGAGTTCTGTTATCTCCCCTCTGACTTATTGGAGTTTTTGGAGAAGAAATCGATGAGAAGTCCCCCCTCTCTGGGTTCCCTTCACTTCATATTTATAGTCGAAAGAAACCTGCCTTTTCCTTAGCCATAACTTCTTGTCAGAATTGTGGAAGCCTACTGGTCGGGGTAAGGGGCGTACCCTCGTCACTTGTGGAGAATGTCGCGGTGATGGAGTTAGAATGGTTCCGTTGACTTCTTTCATACGGTGACTGAAACAGGGTCGTGGTCGCCTCGGTCGGGGTGGTAAGATTTCTGACGAATACAGTTAGTCCCTCCGTTCGGCGGGGTCGTACTTTGACGACTCCGACGGGCGGATCACGTGCGCAACGTAGTCGGAAGGAATCTGACCCCCATACTGTTTCTTTTCGCGTTGTGAGTTTCGAAATTGTTCGGGGGTGTCGATCAGTGTTCGCGCACGGTTATGACGGTTTCGAAACTGAAGCGCCGATTGGTAAGTGAAGCGTTGCTTCGTGCAAGTGGTCGTTATGACGCACGTTTCTGAGGACCTGAAACTTTTCGCGTCCCATCGGATCTTAATGGCGACCATTGGGTCTCGCGCTCGGGGTATTTATGCCTCTTATAAATCGGGAAACCCCATCATTTGTTTTTCACACTTTATTGTTCAGCTTTGAAAAAATTCTCAGGATATCTCCTTTTCTGTTAATTCGAGCTCTATCTTACTCCTTTTCTCGTAGAAATCCTTAATTTCTTCGCTTCTCCCGTCGAGTTCTTTCTCTCTTTTCTTTGGGCTAAAGATGGCAGGTGTTTCTTCCCATGACAGTCTTCCTGTTGCTCCTCCGGCGACTGAGAACTCTGCTCCGACCGCCGGAGATGTAGAGTTGGTGGAGGGTGAAGAGGTTCCCTCTGTAGAAGAAATTTTACCCCGCCCGGGGAGAGATGCGACCGACTTCACGATTGACGGTGGGGCGGAGCCGGTGGATATCCCTCCCCTCATAGGGGAGGTAGGGATAGCGGATTTGAGGAAACGATGGGGCATTCCTAGCTTTGTCGAGATGGTACCGGCGGGGAGAGATGATCGGGTTCAAATTGACCGTCTCGGATTTTGTATGTTCTATGCCTACCCCTTTTTTGTAGGGTACACGCTCTCGCTTCCTATCCTAGTGGTAGATTTCTGCCGCTATTATGAGGTATGCCCAGCCCAGCTTTCTCCTTATTTGTACAAGTTGTTCCTCATGTTTATCAAGTATGCGGAGCTCATCGGTCGAGAGGTTACTCTGGGCCACGTCCTTAGCCTGTTCGCGCCCCAGTTGATTCGGGGCTCGATGATACATGCGCGTCCTCGGGGGTCGAAAAGCCTAGTGGTAAAGATGGACGACAGGACCAATCATCGCTTCTATGAGAACTTTTTCTATGTGCGGACCGAGCATCTCGTGGCGGAACCAACCGGATTTCCCGAAGTGTGGAATTTTGCTCGTAAGTCTACGCTTCTGATTAGTAGAGTGCCCAATTTTTCTCTTTTCTCTTGCCTTTTTTGTGGTATGCACTGACCTACTTTGTGGTTTCGCAGCCGAGAAACTACCCCCGCTGCCTTTGGAGGGGATTCGCGAATGGGTTGAGGCCGTCCCTCCCCATACAGCGAGGGTTCGCACTTGGTCGACCTTTCATGAGAGGTTTGGACGTAGGCCCCTTGCGGGTGAGAACGACCCTATTTCCTACCTGTTCTTTTCTGTCCTCGTTTTATCTCTGTAACGTCGTTTGTTGTTTCCAGGGAGTGTTCGGAGAAGGGCTCCTCAGCTAGCCTTTCGTCGGCCGGCCGCATCTGCTCGTCTTGCTGCAGTACCTGCTACTCGTCCTTCATCGAGGGCGGCTTCGGTCGAATCTGCGTTTCTGGCCACTCCGGCGAAGACGACCCCTCAATAAGCTCCATTCGATATTATCTGTCCGGCGAATGGATCACCATCGACCGAGGAAGAGGAAAGGACGTCGAAGAGACGGAGGGTGGCATTCGAGTCGGCACCTCCAACTGTGATCAATTTGGACGAGTCCCCCCCCCCCACGGGCCTAGGAGATGGTGCTGCTGCGGCGTTTGCTTTAGAGATGGAGCGAGTGGTTGAGGCTGGCGCTGGCAGCCAGTGCCCGGAACATTCGGTTGTTATAGTGAACCAACCCGGAGTTTCCATTGCCGGTGATGATCAACGTCCTTCCGGAGCAGAGAGCCAGACCCCTAGTGCCGCCGTCGTGACTTTGAGTGTGCCTTCTCCATTTGCGGCGGATCATACTTCCCTTTCAGCGGCAGAGAAGGGGAAGAGTATGATGGTCGACGAATATGAATCTAAGTCTGATCTGGATCCTGATGATATCAGGATGTTCGAAGAGGGCCTTACTCATTCGGTGGTTCACGCGGGCGGACCGTCTCGTGTTCTTGATATTCCTTCTGACGTGAATCTCCTGACACAGGGGGATAACTTGGTGTCGCAGCTTAGTTTGCTGCGGAAGCTCAAAATGAGTCCCTGCGGAATGTTGCTGATGCCAAGTTGAGGAACGAAGTGGCCATAATGGGTTTGAGGGTATGTCGCATTCGGCTCTTATTTCGACTTTCCCCTTTGTGTTTGTGAGTATCGATTTAACTGCTTTTTCCTCCTTTTTATTTTTAGACGTATCTGGTGGAGGTGGAAAGCATCCGTAGGGCCAACATTTGGTTGAGGATTTTCTTGTAGTTGCTGGAAAAGTACCGTCGCTATCACCACAGGTGTCGTGAGTTGCACAAGCGATTGAGGACGGATCCCCGCAACCGAGCTCTGGGCGAGGAGTTGGAGAAAAGGGATCAGGAGTTGCTGCAGATGCTCCGCAGCAAGAGCGAGCTCGAAGAGCAACTTTGCCTCAAGGACGAAGAGCTCGAAGTGGGTAAAGGGGTCGCTGCAGAATGTGAATACCTACAGGGCAAGTTAGGAGCGATGCAGTTGGATATGGAGCAGAGCCGGGCCAGAGTTGCGGAGATGAGCGCCGAATGGAGAGGGAAGTTGAGTGCACTGGTGAGTAAGGTTGCCGATTTAGAGCGTATGGAGAGGTCCTGGTCAGAGGCTTCGGCAAGGGCAGCGGCCTTAGAGGAGGTCGTTCGCGTGCATGAGTCCCAGCGAGAATTGGAGAGGGCTACTGCGACCCTCAGGGAAGCAAGGCTCGAGGAGCGGATTAGCACGATTGATCAGGAGGCCTCGGCTCTGGCAGATCAAATCGCTGCCTTAGAGGAGGAGAATCAGTGGCTGAGGGCCCAGGCTGGACCATCCCGCGCTGTTGTTCCCCGCCAGACTCATGAGCTCTGGGTCTACGCCGAAGCCCAGCGAGACATTTTCAAGAACTTGTGGGAATAGGCGGCCTTCGAGGAGGCGCGTGAGAAGGCTCGCAAGGCTCGTGCCAACTGTAGATATGATGTGGCGACACCCGAAGCTGATGGGGGTGCAGGTGGTGACGATGATGAGCCTTATGGAGATGATGATGGTAATGGCGGTGTTGGCGTCGAGTGAAGAAAAAGTAGTGCTTTGTTGTTTTTTTTTTACTTCGTACGCCGGTGTGCGTTTGTTTGTTTCTTGTTGTTGCTTTCTTCCTGCCTCCCTCTTTTTCTCTTTTTTTTAGTTATCAGTTGACTGGCCCCAGCCGGATGTAAGCGGCGATGGCCCGTACTTATGACCATGAATAAAGAATTCTCTTTTTTGCCACTTGTCTTGTGTTTCATCTTTCAGTCGATTCATGATCTCATCACGAGGTGAGGGCTTGTCTGGCGAGTCCCGGTTCTCTTTTTGTAACGTAGGCCTCTAGCCTTCCGGGTTTCATTACGAATTTATCGAGAAGACAGCTTGTTCGAGTTGGAAGGAGATCGAGCCTGTTGATTTTTTACGGCGAAGGCCTTTAGCCTTGAGGGTGTTATTTCGAACTTATCGAAATTACAGCCTGTTTGAGTTCGACCGAGATCGAACCTGTCGATCTTCGAGGGCGAAGGTCTTTATCCTTAAGTCCCAGTTCGAACGAGGTCGAACTTGTCGATCTTTGATGGCGAAGGCCTTAGCCTTAAGGGTGTTATTTGGAAGTTATCGAAACATCAGCTCGTCTGAGTTCGAACGAGGTCAAACATGTCGATCTTTGATGGCGAAGGCCTTAGCCTTAAGTCCCAGTTCGAACGAGGTCGAACTTGTCGATCCTTAATGGCGAAGGCCTTAGCCTTAAGGGTGTTATTTCGAACTTATCGAAATAGTAGCCTGTCTGAGTTCGAACGAGGTCGAACATGTCGATCTTTGATGGCGAAGGCCTTAGCCTTAAGGGTGTTATTTCGAACTTATCAAAATATCAGCCCGTCTGAGTTCGAACGAGNGGGAACGATGGGGCATTCCTAGCTTTGTCGAGATGGTACCGGCGGGGAGAGACGATCGGGTTCAAATTGACCGTCCCGGATTATGTATGTTCTATGCCACCCCTTTCTTGTAGGGTACACGCTCTCGCTTCCTATCCTAGTGGTAGATTTCTTCCGCTATTATGAGGTATGCCCAGCCCAGCTTTCCCCTTATTTGTACAAGTTGTTCCTCATGTTTATCAAGTATGCGGAGCTCGCCGGTCGAGAGGTTACTCTGGGCCACGTCCTTAGCCTGTTCGCGCCCCAGTTGATTCGGGGCTCGATGATCCATGCGCGTCCTCAGGGGTCGAAAATCCTAGTGGTAAAGATGGACGACAGGACCAATCGCCGCTTCTATGAGAACTTTTTCTAT